ATATATGCAAAGATTGTGTGATTACAGAAATAAGCTCATTTTGGCAGCCATCTTGAAAAAAGGCCACCATCTTGAATTTTCCAATGAGCAGTCAGGCAGATTTGATGAACCCCTCAAAGATGATCATACCAGATGTGGCGCTAGTGTCACAATCTGCATGGTTTTTCTATTATCCGCTCAGCTGCTAGACGGAGTATCCCGTAACCTTTCAATGTCAAGGTCACAAATCAAGGTCAAAGGTTATACAAGGTGACGGGTGTATGATGTAGTTCTCTTAAGTTCTTGAGAAGTAGAGCTGTATTTTGACACATGTACAGAAGCTCTGCTGTGACAGTCAAAATCTGAAACTACAGTCTCAAATATCCAGGTTTAAACTAAAAAACATGCTAAAATAAATATTGAATACTATAATCTGGTCCAACTCTGTTTCATTTCCAAAGTTTACTCCAACAGATTAAATCATAGGTGTAGGGAGGCTGCTACGGTAGGTACTAAGTGAGCAGATGTGGAAAACAAAACATTGGTTACGTACTGTAACCCCAGCCCTTTAAGGCTATCGCTAGTGGGTTTATCCTTTCGCACACAATGCAGCACTGAAAAATTTAGTCCACGCCCACCTACTGTGTGGGCCTCACCCCCGGTCTGTATAAATTACGGTGAGACCGGGTAATCGGCTCCCAAATAGCTTTTTTCTTCAGCCATTTAGGAACCAGTGAGACCCAGAGCTTAAAGGGCTGCACCTATACTCATAGAATCTGGGGTTACAGTACGTGGCCAACGTTCTATTTTGTATAGGCTTTGCCCTTTAAGGTTATTGCTAGTGGGTTAAAGACGAAGCAGGATGTAGTCTATGCCTCACTGGGTCCATTTAGACTCAAAATGAAGCACCCGCTTCCACCAAAAAAACATTTAATCACTCAGCCTTCTGTGCTGCGTAATTATGCGTTCCATGCACAAGAGCGCCCCAGAGAGAAAAGATCTCCGATGGGGAAAAAGGGAAGGCTGAAACGCAGTCCTGCTGCTGAGAATGGAAAAAACAGAAGGTTACGAATTGTAACCGTATAACGATGAATAGAGCAGGTCAACAGCTCTTCAATATGAACTGATTAATAACAAAATGAACTGATTAGTAACCAAATGAACTGATTGGTAACAGCAGTCATGAACTGATTAGTAACAATAAAAACAGCAGTCATGAACTTGTGACTGATAATAAATGTCTCACACTAATTGCATGCAGTCAGATGTAAGCTTAAACCGAAATTCCATGAAACAAGTAAAAATCCTTCTGTTAGAACGCTAAGAACTAGAATGAGTCATGGAGAAAGCAGAGACATCACGTAGATAGAAGCGAATAAATGAACAAGGCAATGACCAAGTGGTCGCCGTACAAATGTCCTCCACTGTCATCCCTCCATGCAAAGCTGTAGAGGATGAAATCCCTCTGGTGGAATGAGCTCTGAGATTCTCTGGAGGGTCCAGTCCTAATGTTCTGTAAGCTTCAGAAATAGCCTCACACAGCCAGTGTGACAGGCGCTGAGTGGATGAAGGGCGACCTACAGATGTGTCCCTGTAATGCACAAAGAGATGCTGATAATAACGCAGTGGGGCCGTGCATGCTATATAACATGCAAGCGTGTGCACGGGACAGAGGTGGTGAGATGATACTTCCTCCTCTGAATTGTGAGGAGGAGGATAAAACCTCTCCAAGGTTATCATTCTCGATTTAAATGAGCTTGTGATGTTTTTTGGTATGAAAGCTGGGTTAGGTCTCAGCACAGCTGAGCTGCCATCAGCTTGAATCCAGAGGCATGACGGGGCAGCAGAGAGCGCAGATAAATCGCTCACTCTCTTTGCTGATGTCAAAGCCAACAGCAGGGCTGTTTTAAGTGACAGGAATTTAAGTGAAACCTGATCTAAAGGCTCAAAAAGGAGATTTGATCAGAGCGCGCAGAACCATCGTTAGGTCCCACTGGGGAGCTAGTGGGCATGACACCGGTCTGTGTCTCCGTACACCTTTCAGGAAGGCTTCATCAACGGGTGATTAAAAGCTGTTCTGTCACCGAAGCCCTCGTGACAGGAAGAAATAGCTGCAGCATAAGTCGTAATTGTGCTGAACGCTAGATTTCTGTCCACCAGCTGCTGCAGAAAGGTCAGCATGCCACCTAGTGGACATGAGATGGCCTCTACGGCTTTCTCCGTGCACCAGCACTGAAAAGCTGTCCACTTTGATATAAGCGCATAAAGTAGCATTTTTGGCCACGGGCTGTGAGTGAAGGCGTCCACTCCTAACGGTGGGTCGTTTCGTGGGCTCAGTGAGAACCATAATTGACACAGGGCGTTCTCCAGTGTGACGGACAGATCCACTGCTGCGCAGCCGAACCTGCTTCAAATCTGAGAGATCAGCTTGGGATGGAGGCTCCAGTCTCTGTGACGGGGACCGCCCCTCGACATGATATCCGCTCCCCTGTTCAGGACACTGGGAATGTACACTGCTCTGATGGAGAGCAGGTTTTTGTGTGCCCAACACAACAGCTGTTTCACAATGCGTAACAGTTGGGCTGAACGCACATCTCCCTGACGGTGTATGTAAGCTGCCGTAATTTGTTGTCTGTGTGGATCAGAACATGCTGATCCCGCAGCACGGGGGCAAAATGCTGAGTCACGTTTCAGACTGTGAAAACATTCTAGCGCATTTATGTGAAGCGACATGTGGTCTAGCCACTGTGCTCCCACTGCCTGGGACAGACACATTCCTCCCAGCTTGACAGGAACTCGTCTGTGAAAACTGAGACGTGTGACGTAGGCCTGCTGATGGGAACTCCCTCTGACAGAATGAGGGGGTTTCCCAGTGATTCAGATCGGTTCTCACGGAGGGGGGCACAAAGATGATCCGCCTCTTCTGGCGCACAGAATCTATGCGCAGGCGGGCGAACCATCTCTGAAGGGGTCTCATGTGAAGTAGGCCCAGCAAAACCACGATGTGGGCCACTGAAATCGTCCCAGGAGTCGCATGACAGGCAGACTGTTACTGCTGCAGGGTTTGACACGGCGGAGCTGAACTGACAGAGCTTTGGCTCTCAGCTGTGATAAATGGGCTCTCATTGTGGTTGAGTTTAGCTCCACTTCCAGATAAACAATCATCTTGGGCGGACGAACGGAACTTTTTCCCAGTTTATAGAAAACCCCAGGTTTAGCAGATGTAACACTAGCGTTTTGGTCTGTGCGACTGCTTCCTATCTGGACTGAGCTAATAAGAGCAGATCGTCCAGATAAAAATAATTCTCATTCCTGCCATGTGTAACGACTGCAGAGCCGTCTCCACGCATTTCGAGAACGTGCGTGGGGTGTTTCAGAATGATGGAAAATGTGATAATATGCACTCTTCAGATCTATGGAGGTGAAAACCAGTCGTTCTGGTGAAGTTCTCCAGCAGCTGTTTGACAGCATGTGGAATTGCCTCCCCATGATCGAATTGCTGAACATGAACAGGTCGAGAATGGATCTCATCCCTCTGTTTTTTTTATCAGAACCAGGAAGTAGTGGGAGGGGAAAAAAACAAACGTATTTTCCTCTCCGTTGGGAACTCTGGAAATCAAGTTTTTTTGTCAGAAATTCCTGAACTTCTGACTGGAGAGACGAGCTCTGTTCTGGAGAAGACAGAACCGTCTCTATAATCCCTCTGAACAGTGAGGGTTGAGCTGCGAACTGCAGCGTGTAACCCCTGCTGATCAGACGGTCCGCCCATCTGTCCAGGGAACACACTCGCTGCCACTCTGAGTAACACTCGGAGAGTGGGCACACATTTTGTGTTGCGTCATGTTTCTCATGAACGTCAACCAGACTAAAAAAAACCTTACTGCCATCACCCGCTCTGGAGATTCTCCAGGGGGAACCCAAGGGTGGCTCCGACAGAAAAAAGGCTGTATGTGTGCCTCTGTGCTGAGCCCAGGCTGCGGTCTCACATTGGAGTTGAAGTGAGCCAGCCGGCGCACACTGAGAGGAGGTGTGAGCACTTTCTGAGTGAGACACCGTTTCGGTGGAGGCTGCAGCTGTCGTGGAGAAAACACGTTTACTCCTGCTGTGCTGTGAGTAGGCAGAAAACAGCAGAAATTAAAAATGGGCTCTGGCTGAAAACGAGGGATTTTACTGGACTCGGTCTGCTGTAAAAACATCATTTTGGCAGACGAGTGTTTTGTGATATTTACTGAACTGCGGTGCCATTTAAAACGCTGTTTAGAGGTTACTGGCTCATTCTGTGTGGGAAATGTGTGAAGAGAGGCAGCTGTGAGAG